TGATTCTATTTTTTATCGTCATTTTTTAGAACTTAATTCAAACATTTAGAAGAAGCATGCCAGAATGCTCCCTTTGGAATTATAGCTACGTAGTACTATAAAACTATAATGCTACTTTTTATCTTCATTTTTTGGTAATTGCTATTCAGAATTCACTTGTTGGATTTCAGTTTTTTTCATTAGCCGACCAGTCAACAGCCTTCATAGTAGATTAGTACTCACTGTCACAATGTCACTTGTTGGAATTATAGCCACCTACGTCGACACGTCATCACTGCCACTCACTGAGAAGTAGGCAAGTCATAATTATTAATTGGCCCTAGTAGTTTCCACTTTCCAGCTTTCCGCCCGCAGAGATGCGCAAACAAATGAGACAGACATGACATGATCCTACATTTCGGGAATTCGGGAAACCGTTTCCCTAACCGAGACCGTTCTAGTTCGGCTGGCGGTATACCAAAATAATTCGGTATCGGCTAACGGCGTATGCATCCGGGAATCCGGTATACCCGAAACCGGATAAACGATAAATGGTAAACCGCTAACCGTACCGTTAGCACCCCTGCTCATAAATATGGCTATAAACTACATAAATAATTTTTGGATACGAACTCATACCAATAGTTAGAACACGGGTTGGGTCGGGTTCTATGAGTTGCGTATGCTGCCAGCGGGGTATTGGTATTGGGGATTAGAAGAAATTAGCTTTTTATTTATTTTAAATAAAAGTGATAATGAGGTGGAAATGAGATGGTAATTTTAAAAAAATTAATTTTATTAATTTTAAATTACCACGTCAAACATTTAAAGGTCAACTTTTAGAGTTGACCGCCAAGTAAGCAAAAAGTTAACGAAGTTGGATAGAGAGTGACCAAACATGAACAGTTTCAGTAAACTGAAGTACCACCAATGAATTTAAATATTTCGAGTGACCAAACTTAAACGTTTTTTGTTATCTCAGTGACCAACCATGCAATTAACCCTAAATGATACACATATACAAGAAAGTAAATGATACACAGCTGTAATAATGTTCGTTCATTTTGTAGGTAAAACTGCTCATAGGGATGCTAGTAAGATGGAGGAGATGGAGGAACGAGCTGCTAGGTTAAGCAGCTGTAGAATTGGAGGAAAAAACTTAGAGAGAGCAGTGTGTTTCTCTGTTTCTATTTTAACCAAAAAAATCCAACTACAATAAGATCTGAAAGGAAGTTAAAATTGTAATTTAAAATAATTATTGTGCCTAACACGTGGCACTAAACGATCAACCATTGACTAACGGCTAGATCAGGGGCGGAGCCAGGAATCGACGATCGGGGGGCCGGAAATATTTTGTATGTTATCGCAAAATGACGTAAAAAATTTTAAAAAATTAATTTTATATTATTATAACGTCAAAAATTATTCATTAAAACGATTAACATTGCTTTGTAAACTAACTTTTTAAGCATTGAGTTCAATATAAAATAATATTTTAACAATACATTCCGATATTGTATTGCACATATGTTTCCATAATTAAGAGTATTTAATAGAAATTGTTGTTGTATATACATATGCTTAAAGCTGCTAAAAGTATTGCTTCCCTGGGAGTAGTTAAAAGAAATCGGTAGAGAATAAAGCTGGCAAAAATTACTTACTTTGCATGAGAATCAAACCAAGGACCTAGTGAGTGGAAAACATACTGCTTTCCGCTACGCTAGAAGGCTGCTTTATCAAATTAATGCATACTAGAACATTTTAATCATTTGATTTTATTTATACGTAAATTACCTGAGTATTTTATACGTAACTTTCAAGATTCTCAGGAGAGGCTGAGGCCCCCCCGAGCCCTGCTGTAGCTCCGCCCCTGGGCTAGATGGTAATGGAAACAATGAAAACGACGCCGGGTCATTCTTCTACTACCTTCATCTTCCCTTTGCCTTCATTCTTTAGCTCTGCTTCTTCTCCATGATCTTCTTCCATCTGCTCTAATACTCCCCACAAGTTGGCGAGTGCATATCCAAAACTCCCAACTTGCCAAGCAAAAACTTCAATATGTATCTCGTCATTCCTTTGATGAAGAGATTAGCTAGTTGATCATCTGTTCTGACATGTTCCAGCTTGATCAACCCAGATTTCAGCTCTCCCTGGTAATGTGGCAATCAATTTTAATGTATTTCGTTCTGTCATGAAACACAGGATTTTCAGCTATATGAATAGCTGATTTGTTATCACAGTAAACCTGAATAGGTAAGGGAATCTTCACACCAATTTTTGCTAGCTACAACTCACAAACCAAGTGTACCAAAAGCCATATACTCAACCTCAGAGGATGATCTACAAATAGTACTTTGTTTCTTAGATTTCCAGGTTATCAAACTATATCCAAACAACGTACAATAACCTATAATTGACCTTCTGTATCAGGGCAACTTGTCCAATCAAAATCTGAAAAACCACTCAACTTCAATTCTGAATCAGCTTTGCAAATTAATCCTTGTCCTGGAGCATGTTTCAAATACCTCAAGATCCTATAAGCAACCTCCAGATGCTCACTATATGGATCTTTCTGAAACTGACATAACTGCTAAATGACAAAGGTTAAGTCTGGTCTGGTAACAGTATGGTAATGTAATCTACCTACTTTAGACCACTAAGATCCTTCACTTTGTATTCTCTTCCCATGAACAATTTTGGTTGTTCTATATCTCCCAAGGAGACTCTTGCAATCAATATATCATCTACATACACCAACACAACAAAAATCCTTCCCTGAAACCTTTTAATAAACATTGAGTAGTCTAAAGTAGCTTGAGCAAAACCATTTTTCAACAATGAAGTGGCTAGCTTGGCAAACCATTGCTTGTTAGCCTGTTTCAGTCCATAAAAGGACTTCTTTAGTTTCAAAACTATCTTCTTGTCATGTAGTACCATGCCTAGTGGTGGTTTCATGTAGACTTCTTCATCCAACTCTCCATGAAGAAAAACATTTGATACATCCATCTGATGAATGAGCCAGTCATTAGCAGCAGCCACTGCTAGCAACACTTATACAAAATTAATTTTAGCTATTGGTGAAAAGGTGTCTAAGAAATCTATCCCATAGATCTGAGTAAATCCCTTAGCAACTAATCTGGCCTTGAACCTTTCTATGGTGCAATCATCTCTAAGATTTACCTTGTATACCCATTTGCACCCAATGGCCTTCTTCCCTGGTGGCAGGTAAGCTGGTTCCCAAGTCTGATTTGCTTCAAGAGCATCAGATTCATTGTTTATTGCTTCTCTCCAACATAGTTCCTTGCAAGCCTCTTCATAAGACCTTGGTTCAGTGACAACCATGGAACTCATCACATAAGCATTATGTGCAGTTGGTAACTTACTAAAAGCTACATATTTGTCCATAGAGTACTTATGAACTGCTCCCACTTTATAATCCTTATGCCAAACTAGAACTGTTCTGAGTCTGTCTGACTTCCTTAACTCAGGACCAGGACCTTCTCCATCTTCAAAATCAAGTTGTGCAACTAACTCATCATCCTCCCCTTCAGAGTTCACTCCTGAAAACTCTACTGCTTCACCAACAGAAGTTGTGGCAATGTGTCTGAGGAAGGAGGAAAGGAAGTATAGGGAGAAGGGGTAGAGGAAGAAGGAGATGAAGTCTGAGAAGGTAATAAGGAAGATGGAAGTGGAGGAGGAAGAGGATTATTTGGGAAAAGGAGTGCATTAGTGGTAGGAGGTGCCTGTGGTGGTAGAGAGGTAGGAACAGATGTAGAAGAAGAAGGGTGTAGAAAAGGAATGATTGTCTCATAGAAGATCACATGTCGGGAAACAAAAGTTTGATGAGTGTAGAGATCAAATAACTTGTAACCTTTGATCCCAGAAGGAAAGCCAAAAAAGACACATTGCCTAGCTCTAGGACTGAACTTTTTTTTGTCTCGTAGCAATGTGGATGCATAACACAGACAATATTTAATGGAAATCCTATTACAACCAGTTGTTTGATGTTCTCTCTCTACTCGGATGCCGCAGTCTCCAGTGCCAAAGATCTATCTGGTGAGGAAGGAAATTGTAGGTGGTTGCTACTTGGTGGGTTGAAATGTCCGGTGATAGTTTTGGTGTGGTGGTAAGATGGTAAAAGCCTCTATTGAACATAATAATTAAAGACCCAGATGGCTATTGTTACCATTTTGCTGTTGACGAGCATCGCCGTCAGGGTTGTTGTAAATTTGGCCACTAGTATCACTGGACGAAGAGTTGTAGGTGCCAAATGGTATGGGGCATGAGCCTTGAGATCCCGGTGGCGTCTGTAGAGGTGGGTTATTCGCCATAGCAGACTTGAAAGCAGAGAAATGGATCAATACCACTCTGGTACCATAAGAAGTAGAAGGAGGAGATGGAGGAACGAGTTGTTAGCTTAAGCAGCTATAGAATTGGAGGGGAAAACGCAGTGAGAGCAGTGTGCTTTTCTGTTTCTATTTAAACCAACAAAATCTAACTATATACGGTAATATTTGAAAGGAAGTTAAAACTGTAATTTGAAATAATTATTGTGCCTAACACGTGGCACTAAACGATTGACAATTGACTAACGGCTAGCTGGTAACGAAAACAATGAAAATGGCGTCGGGTCATTCTTGTGCAAGCTTCATCTTCCCTTTGCATTCATTCTTCAGCTCTGCGTCTTCTTCATGATCTTCTTCCATCTGCTCTAATAGCTAGTCTTCTCCAGAACAACAATGAAACTTCATAGAATTTCATCTAGTTTATGGTGTTCACTACACTGCTCTTATCTGACGGCCTAGGCTTGATTCATGACTTTCGCCCTGAAAAGGGTTGAAGTTCAGTCATGAATTATGGTCAAATGTGTAAGTATAATAGGATTATACGGCAGGAAAAAACTCTTATCATCTTCTTCCCTTCTTCTCCTTTTCCCCCTTTTTGATTTGACCTGCAAAAAGGTCCTATATATTCGTATCATGTCTCCCCTTGCAGGATACCTTTGACAAAAATAATGATAGACTGATTAACGTGATTTATTAATATGTGTAAATTATTCCACTAAGAGACCAATTTCAAGACCGGTTTTGCTATACTTGCGGAGATTTAAAAAAAATAGATATTACTTTCTAAAAACATTTAACTCGACGATAGACAATTCAAGTTCAAATCATTATAATTCGAAATGATAGAACAAAGATTAGAGAAGAGAAAAAGTGGGTCCTTCCTTATAAGACTCTTCAATCTTCATAACATACAAGCATTCCCGAATTGGTACACCAATTCGTTCATAGCAAGGATTGTACTAACAACATACATGCAAGGAAACTAAGGAAAAGATCCATTGAACCCCCTTTGACCCTTTTTCTTCTTGTACATACTACTACTCGGGCCGGGGATTCCTTTATTCCAAACTTCAACTCTCTACGTCAAAGTTACATTGTCTTTTTTTACTTGATTCAGGCTCTGTACTGGGAACGAGACCCAGGGCTGAACAGCGTGACCTCGTCCCTATTAAACTTGAGCCTCCTCGCCTCCTCCCTAGACACCTGGAAGGAGTTGGCGATCACCTCCTCGGGGAACGCCCGCATCGACGAAACCCGGCCTGCCAGCTGGCTGATCTTGGCCTGATCATTGGTCTTGAACGCCACCCACTCCAGCCCTTCCCCTCCGGCACGCTTCACCACAGCGAAGTTGTGCGGCGCCGTCAGGATCTGGCCCTCACGCACCTCCCCGTCGAACACCGACCGACCGTTCTCGTCCACGATCTGCACGCGCCCGCTCCCGCGGGTGAAGTAGCAGATGCTGTGCGCGTTCATGTTCCAGTGTGGGGCCATGATGGCGTTTTGGTAGAGGTGTCCCTTCTGGGCGCTGAGGCGGAGGGAGCGGAGGATGGGGAGGTTGTGGCTGTTGACCGACGTGATGCGACCAGCACGTGGGTTGTACACGTCGGCGCGTGAGGGGTCGTTGATGTTCTGCTTCAGCCTGGCGGAGCAGAACGTCTCCTCGACCCCGTTGGCGGGTCTGCCTCTCTGGTACTCGCTCCGCTCTTCCTCGCTGAACTCCGGGGTCAGGAACTGGAGCCGGTCCTCGACGCGGACGATGACGCCCCTGTTGTCGTTCTCGTTCTTCATCCTCCTCGCCAGGTCGGTGTCCACGTTGAACGCCTCCGCCAGGAACTGCTCGTCGAAGCCCTGGAAGATGTTGCCAGAACGCTGCTCCTGGCTGCCAGATCCGCCGCGGCGGCTCTGGCTCTCTCCCCTCTGGAATCCCTGTCCGGAGAACTGTCCTCTCTGTCCTTGGATTTGCTGTTGCGGGTTACCCGCCAGGAAGAATTTCTGCCATATATATCATCAACGTTTGCCCTTGTTAATAATGAATGAAAGAAATCAATAATAAATTATAATAGGCTGTGTTTTTTTTTTTTTTTTTTTGACAAAGGGCTTAGAATTTTTCCATTACTTGTGGCCGAAGCCAATGGGGCAACAACATCAAGGATATGAATCCAATCGAAAGACAATTGATTTTTAGCACAAGATCTAGCCACCCAGTTGGTCTTAGAGTTCCTTTTCCTGTTGATGTGTTTAATCGTAATCATTGGATGGGAATCGGTCAAGGCCTTGATGCGGCCAAGCCATGCTGTTGCTCGCTAAGGCCAGCACTCACACTGTCCGCTGAGATTTCAATAATAGGCAATAATAGGCTGTGTTTGGATACCATGATTTGAGATTTCAAATACTAAATCTTTGTTTGGATACTAATAGATAAGGTGTCTTGAATTTGTACAAAATACATAAGTGAATTTCAAATACATATTTGTGACTTTGAAATACATATCAACCATTAGTGAGAATAAAAACAAATATAGTATAGCACAATGTAAAAAATAAAAATATACTAAAATGTAATTCCAAAACCAAGATTTATCGACCTACTTGTACAGATAGTAAAGTCTAGGTTCTAATTTGTTAGAAAAAAAAAACTAAATTTGGTAGTAAAATGTAATTATTTGATAATTTTAATGTGTGATAAAAAAAACCCCTCAAAATAGAAATAAGAAAACACAAATAAAATTAAACATATATATAAAAACAATTGAATATGAAAACAATAAGTTTGAAATACATGCATTTGAAGTACATGCTAAGAGAAGTGGGATGATGCTTGTATTGTTAGGTAGAGTAGGGTACCCTGAAGTTGTTGTCGAGTTGGTTGGCGGGGTTGCTGGTGTCCATGATCTGAACGAGTACAAGAGGAGTCTGAGCGTCGTTGTAGAACCAGTCGGCGACTCCGGCCGGCAGGGCGATGATGTCACCCTCCCGGACCTTCCTGATCTTCTGGTGCTGGTCTCTGAACCCTTGCCTCGGGTCCTGCTGCTGCTGCTGCGACTCCTCCTGCGACTGGAACGTCTCGGCGCACCCCGGGATGGCCGCTCCGTGGTATCCTTGTCCTGCAAATATTCATATAACAATATATTTTCAATTTCACATTTACAAGGCGGAGAAAGCTAAAAAAAAGAAGAAAAAAAACGAAGTGGAAAATTAAATGGAGTTGACCTTGGTCAACGTAGACAAGCTTGGGGGCGTTGGTGTAGGCAGGGAGGAGGAGGCCGCGCTCCTCGATGGTGTGGCGGAGTGCGGCGGCGCCGGCGCAGCGGAACTGGTCGTCGTTCTCGTCCCAGACGTCGGTGACGCCGGCCTCGGAGGTGACGCGGCGGTCGGGCTCCCTGGCGCTGAGGCGGCTGAACTGGCACTCGTCGAGGCTGTAGCCCTCTCCGCGCCGCTGCTCACCGCGGACACGTGTCCATCCGTGCTGGGAGGTGACCTGCTCCAGCTGGGCGGAGCAGGCGTGGGAGAGGACGAGGAGGCAGAGCGAGAGCGAGAGAAGAGAAGGAACGGACGCCATGGTTGTGTGTGTGTGTGTGTGTTTGGGAAAAGGAAGACGAGAGAGCTCGATCTTTATAGAGATGGTGAGTGCTTACTTGGTTGGTTGCTGTGATTAGAGATGATTGCATGGCGTGGGACGTGGCGAATGGTTTCTGTTTCGAGTTAAGGGAGTGAAATGAAAGGGGTATGGGATGGTGTTTCTGCATGGAATCTTGTCGTGTAGTGGATTTTGCATGGCTTGGGGTGGCTTGCTTGCTTACACATCAGTCTTTCACCACGGCCACGTGGACAGAGCAAGTTATGATGAGGGGGAATCGGCACAACTATATATATATATATATAGAGAGAGAGAGAGAGAGCTAATTAATAATGAATTGAGACGAGCATCAGGGTGAGTTCATCGGTTTTTTAGGCACTTTCGAATCGTATTCATTTACTCTTTGGATAGTGCAGAGCTTTGAGTTGGCAACAATGCATGCATGGTACCTTTTCTAGCCTTCCACTAAGCCTTGTCGTTTGTGTTAGCGGCGGTTTTAGGTTACAATAACTCGAGTCAGCTAGAATCGAGATGTTGGGAGAGGTTCAAATCTTACGATTACAAAAGACTTTTAAGTCGATCTGTTTTTTTAAAGCGGTTCAATTGTGATTTGTGACTCAATTGTGATTCATATAGTCTTTACTAACAATTAACATACATCCTCAAATAATGAAAGCCACCACAACACATAAAGTCGACCTTTTTGCTAAAGCGGTCGACCACTAGAGCCGGTCAACCACTTGTTAAATGTAACAAACAAACAAACAATAGTATATTCAATATACCTCATACGCGCTTACTGGTTGATCATTTTGCTCAAATCACCGTAACTTAACAAGCCACAGTATCAAAGTGCTAAGATATTAACAATATCACTACAATAATATTTTAAGGTTATCTCCTATCTCCTCCTGCGAGTAAATCATCCCAGCAATTAACTACTCAAGTGATATAAATAAAGTTATCAGAAAAAAAAGGCTTGCTATTTGCCGCCAACTAAAAAAAATATATATATATACATGTTTGGTTAAGGAGTTTCACAATCTACAACATATCCAACTTTCAGAGAACGTATTGAATCAGAAAAATTCAACGCTCGCCGGAAAAGTCGCCGGAAAATCATCGGGAAAGCCTATCCTCGACATATACTGCGTACACGCATCCATGAATCATCACTAAGCAGGTGCGTAAATTTTTTGTAGTTTCGAACAATTTTTCTGACGATTTGAAACGAACAGACTGTGGGCCGAAAAATTCCGGCGGCCGGAACCAGGCTGGGCCGGCGGAAATCGGTGGCCGGAACCAGGCTGAGCCACAAGATATTTTCGGCTCAGCCTGGCTCCGGCCGCTGGAATTTTTCGGCCCGGCCAGGTTCCGGCCACCGGAAATTTTCGGCCCCACGAGGTTCCGGCCGCCGGAAATTTTCGGCCCACCGTCTGTTTTGGAAATTTTCGGAAAAATTCGATTTTAGGAGTTGAATTTAGAGTTTAGGAGTTGAATTTAGCGTGTAAGAATTGCATTTAGAGTTTAAGAGTTGAATTTAGCGGTTAAGACTTGAAATTAGCGTTTAGGTTCACAGGAATATTGATGTATTATATTGTAATTGTAGGAAAAATGTCAGAGTGGTTACCGGCCGATCATGATTACACACAGGAATTTGAGAATGGGATCCATTATGAAAGTGTGAAGTTAGCTGAGTTAGCTGCAAAAGCAATCGCTCAGGAGTGTGGGTTCTTTATTGTTAGAGGAGCATGGAAACCGAATACTGCTGGACTACATCCTGTTACTGCCCTCTGTATGTATTGCGACAGAAGTAGTAGGATCGTTAAGTCTTATAAACCAGACCCTACGAAGGAGACGCGTGGGAATATTAGTTCGAAGGGTACTGGTTGCCAGTTTCATATATGTATTAAGGAAGTATGGCAAAAGAATGGTCCAAACACATGGTGGTCATAGTGGGAGTGACAAGTCGTGAAACCGGAGCAAATAGAGGGTTTCACAACCATGAAAAGGTGTTGTATCCAGAACATCACCGACACAACAAACAGTTTAGTGAGGTTGAAAAAGAGAGGTTAAGATTAATGAGGAAGGCGGGGGTGAGACCAAATCAGCAGAAGACGACACTCAATACTGAAGGGGGTGTGCATCATGATGATCAAACAGATGTACAACATAAATTACAAGACAAGATTGGATGAGATGGATGAAATGGATGCGATACAGTTTGCGCTTCACGGAGCTGAACAGCGTGGGTACCATATCTGTTTGCAAAAGGACTCTAATAATGTGCTCACTAATCTATTTTTTGCGCACCCGACGTCCATTCAGATGTTGCATGCATGGCCGTACGTCATCCTCATTGACTCGACCTACAAGACAAACAGGTACGGCTGGCCATGGGTTGAGATTATTGGGGTTACTCCAGTCAAGAAGAATTTCAACATTGCATGTGCAATTATTAAGCACGAAACAAAGGAATCATATGAGTGGCTGCTGCGATGTATTAAAGGGTTGCTCGGTGATACGGTTCCGAATGTCATTGTGACAGACAAAGAAGGTGATTTGCTTGCTTCTATTACTGTGGTCTTCCCTCTCCCACATACTGTCCACCTACTATGTTTATGGCACGTCAACAACTGTGTGAAGCAAAAGTTTGAGCAATTACTGGGTAGAATTGCAAACAGAGAGGTAGTGCATGCGGTATGGAAGAAATATTTCGACAAAGCTGCATGGAGTTGGACTCAGGAGGGTTTTCTTCAAAAGATTAATGAGTTTGAGAGGGTCTGGACAGAGAAGAACATAAAAATGGTCGACTACGTGCGAGGTGATTGTTGCCTCATCAGACAATGTGGGCAAAGTGTTACACGAACCATGTGTTTTATCTTGGTAACACGAGCTCGAATAGAGTTGAGTCATCTCACTCTTCATTCAAGACTTTTCTTGTGTCTGGTAGAGGAGCGATCGACACTTGTTTTGCGAAGAACCACAACTACATGGAACATCAGTTTCTGGATGGTCGTTAGTTGTGAGGCAATCAAACTGATGTTAGATGGGGCGGCGGAGTTGAAGGACAGTTGTGCGTGTCATTTTCAGATGACACATGGCCTCAAGTGTGCTTGCCAGGTTGTTCAAGCTAAGGAAGAAGGACGTCAATTCTATGCTCAAGAGTTGCATGTATTTTGGTGGGACTTTGGATTATAAAAACCCCCCACGTCAACAACAAGTCAGTGATGAAAATTGAGCTTCAACGAGAACACTTTAGGCGTCTTACTATTGAGGTGGAAGAAAGAGGTCTTGAAGCAGTGAGACAAGCAAGAGATGCCCTATTTTATGGGCTTCACCCAGCAGAGGACAATGTGAGGGAACCGGAAGTGAATGAGAATCCGAGAGGACGGCCTCGAACAAGCACCAGTCGCATTCGTTCATATTATGAGCGGTCTCGTTCGAGGAGTACTGGGCCTGGTTCGAGTAGAGGTAGGGGCGATCGAGTGGAGGCAGATCCCGATCGAGTGGAGGTGAATCCGACGAGCATGATACAGGTGAGTAATTGGTTTAATATTATAGTCCATCTAGTAGTAATTGGTTTATGTTTGTAAATTTTGTCCAAGTAATTTTGACCGTTTGGTATATTTTTGTAGATTACTCATCCCAGAGCCCCCTAGGGCAATATTCTTACCCTTACATCGATGAGCTTTTTCCACAGTTTGTTCGACCTTTGCTGGTAGGCGATTTCAACCCTAGTCCAGACGGCCATTGTGGTTTTAGGGCACTTTCTCATTGTATTTATGGGGATGATAGTCACTATCTGCTCATGAGATCGACGATTGTCCAAGAAATCCAACAACATTTTTGGAAGTACGAGAACTTGTATAATGGTGGTCCACTAGCTCACATTGACCGCATCAATTGGCTAGAGGCGGGTTCCGCACCACCGGGGCGATGGATGGATTCTGAGGACTTGTTCGTGTTTGCAATGCTCTATTTATATGTTGTTGTTTTTCTAGTTGTATTTTTAATGACCCTAGTGTAATTATGAACTTATGGATTTCATTATGGATTTCATTATCTACCCTCGATGTTTTAATCATTAGTGTGCAGTACATCCGATCCAAACATAAGTAGTCAAACAAACATAAGGGGCAGGTGGTACCATCTATCGGTATCCAAACTGTCGGAGGCAACGGGTTGGATCATAGAACTCGCCTATGTCAGCGAACCGGATGACTCCAGTGTACAAAGAGCGACGCACTGCCTGATGAGGCCTTTGATGGAAAGGTGTCCAAAACACATCATAAGGGGTCAAGCTGTCAAGAGCTCGACGGTAGAACGCCAACCTAACACTGGGATCAGCCACAGAACCAGGTGTCGGCTGCCCAATCCATCGTGAAGCCCAAGCATCATCAGGTCCAACGGCGGGTGGCTCGAAGTGAGATGACCTGAAACCCGGAAAGTACTCGTAGATCCAACACTGCAGAAGTGTGAGACAACCAGCCACCCCCTGGCACCAGCACGAGACGCCTGACCAAGGTATCTGTACAACCAAGCAAGTGTACCTGACGCCCAACTATACTGATCTAACTCCTCCAACTCTTCCAAAAATAGGTTCACCACCGACCGAACCCTGTCTCTACTCTTGTCCACAAACAAAGTGGACCCCAACAGCAACAACAAGTACGACTGCGCCTCTGTCACATGTGTCCCGTGGCTCTGCAAGTATCTGGACGTCATCTCTGCAAGAAAACCACCCTTCTCGTACCACTTACCCCTATTACTATATCCAGGGACCTCCGAACGACCACTCAACTGCTCCGAGTTCATCCCAAGAAGCGCACACAAACCCGCCTCCGGATGGTCAAGCTGCGCAGAACTCCTACTCATCAGTCGTCCCTCAACAGGAATCTACAGTAAGTACTGAACATCGTGGAGGAGGATCATAATCTCTCCAAAAGGCAAGTGGAAGGTGTTCGTGTCTGGCTGCGACCTCTCCACAAAAGCTAAGATCAAAGCCTCGACAATCGCTATCTTGTGGAACATAGAGTAGATCAGGTGCTGGAGACCTGATTGCTGAACCAGATCCTCCGCCTCAACATGACTAAACACGTAGCTACTCAGATAATCAACCGCCGATGTACAGCTGTAGCAACTGATGACCCCTCGATCTCCAACCCCCGTCCAAAGCGCATAGGCAGCGTGGCCACGAAAGCTCCTAATGAGGCTAGGATCCGTAGGTCCACCAGGACACTCACCAACAAGCTCCCACG